AAATCAGTGGAAAATCAATTCAATTCCAGAGATCCTGACAAGTTTTGCAGAGATTTAAGGATATAGAGATGACATGATACTTATTAAACTCAGAGACCTTTGAAGGAAAGGGCTTTGTCTTTTATATGTGATTTTTTGATAACTGAGAAGAGCACTTGAAACATAAAAGATATTCACAAATTCTCACTTGAAACAATTATGTCTTTAACAGATACAGGGAATAAAAGAACAAGATTTCATTAATTGGATTATGGTTAATTCAGTTTGAATTGAAGATGCTGTAGTTACCTCTGTGTTTTAACTGTTTTACACGAACTAATCTGTGACTATCTGTACTTTGCCACTGTCTGATATAATTTCCAGAAAATAAAGAAATGATAGATATCTGCATCTCCCAATGCAGTAATCACTGCTACAGGTGGCTTCTGACCCCTGAAAACTTGACTAGTGTAACTGTAGAGTCAAATTTTTCTTTCTGCTAAAAATTCTTTTAAATTCAAATTTAAATCTAAGTAGCCACATGTGACATGTGGCTACTTTATTAGAGATTGCCTCCTACAGGGTCAACAATGAGCTATTATTGATTAAACCTGAAACTCTTTCTTAGCCCATTGCCCCAGGATGTGGCTGTTCTTATGCAAAATTGCAAATCAAATGAGAAGACAAACTGATTAATAGACTTACATTTTAGGTGAATAATAGTTATCTTTTAAAAATCAATATCACTACTAAGTTCAGATACAGCACATGTATTGCATTACTGATATGGACCAGTCTGGGAAATTGTTAAGTATTTTATTTTTGAATGCATGCAGGAAAACCAAATGAAAGCATAATATGGTAAAATTTGTAGAGTATGACATCCCACACACCCATCTAGTTTTCCATTTCTATATTAGCACTTTAGAATATACTAAACCCTGAACTCATGTCTATATTTGTGTGTATCTGTACACTTGACCCCACATAAAATGCCATACTATTTATAGAGAAAAAAAACAAGGCCTTTAATGGTTAAATTATGAATTAAAGCTTATTTTAGTACAAAAGGCCAAATGGTGCTTAAATTCATCAAATGATGTGCATTCATCCAGTATTCTAGCTAAACAAAATATTCTATGACTGAGAGAACAAGCTTGATTTAGGCCATATGCTGCACAGATTGCCTGCCATTTGGCAGCTTGCTCTTTACCTTATTCTATATAAGAATCTTGGAAGCATGGTCACTTTAAATTCCTATTTTCAAATACTATGACTTACGTGTTCTGTTGTGGCAACAAAAGGCTCAAAATAAGGGCAACTTGGCCTAAACATTTACATTTTTCATAACCAAGACCATTTTTAAATGTGTTAATTTACCTCATATTTTTTCTTAATAAGTGGGTTTTAAATGTATACTTTCTAATGTATAATACCTGGTCATACTCTACTGTTTGTCTTAAACTTCAAAAGACACAGACAAATTGAGTTTAGAAAACAGAGGTCCTTTTAATACATGAAATCCTTGCATATGATTTACTTAAACCTAGTAGTCTTAGAAGTTCATACTCACAGGTATTGTACCTGTGGGTAGAAAATGCTGACTGATATTCTGATATCCATGGTTGTAATTTTGGGAAATGTTTCATAGCTTCCTTTTCTCATCATTAACAACAAAGCACATTATGAAACTGAGGACCTATATTCTGATAATATGAGAAAGTTAAAGTTGGAATGATATTTGTATTTGTATTTAAAGATTTACTACTGGATTTCTTTATATCCATATGAAATAAATTGGCCTTTTGGTTTGTAGGTTTAGGGTAATTTGTTTTGGTTTGTAGGTTTAGGGTAATTTGTTCAAAACACATCATACTGATAAATAGCCATTACTTTTCCCACAACTGACTATTGTAAGCATTTTGTTTCTAGATGTTTTGGTCGCAGACCTCACGCTGGTGGCCAAAAAAGACAGCTGCTACTAGATGTTTTGGAAGAGCAGGAGTGGAGCAAGTGCTAATCAGGCAATGTAAATCACTTTCTATGGAGAATAGTTCTGAGGTTCCTTAAAAAATCTAAAATGAGACTAATGTATAGTCCAACTATCTCACTTCTGAGTATATACCCAAAGGAAATCAAATCAGCAATACCAAAGAGATATCTTGTATGCCTATGTTTGTTGTAGCACTATTCACAATATCTAAGATATGTGAATGGAGAGGTTTCAGGAAAAAACAAATCTGCCAAAACATTGCTTTTGGACTTCTAACTTCCAAAACTGTGAGGAAATAAATTTTTGTTACTTAAACTACCCGATAGGGTAATACCACAGATATGTGGTATTTCATTATGACATCCCCAGAAAACTAGTGCACTTAGATGATAGATAAATAGATAGATAGATAGATAGACACAGATAGGTAGATAGCTAGACAAAAGATGGTGGACACATAAGACTTTGACATAGTGGCTAAGAAAATAACAGATCCCTACATCATTAAAAATACTTTGGTGTCTTTAGGAAAGTGGGTTTTATCACATCTGGACAAAGGGACATAAGATCATACATGTCTGTAGGATCAGCAGACACTCCAGATTCAGTCACAAGTCAACTATAAACACTTCAAAATGAGGACTTTTAGGTCAAAAGACAAACATATGTCCAGAACAGTAACACTTCCTAGTCTGTATATCAAGACTTTCCCACATTCTTCAGTATTTGCTTGATATAAATTGCCTTCATAGTGCATGATAGTATCTTATATTCATACTCAATGAATATGGGAACAACTGGAAACTACCTTCATTCTATGATTAACACAATAATTAACGAGTATGAGAGTTATTAGAAAAAGTTCATCCAAAGCTTTTATCAAAGCAAACAAAAAAACACTTTGGAATCCTTTCATGAAATTTTAAAAACATTTCTATTAAGTTCATTTGGAATATGTGATGTATAAAACAGTAGAGTAATGCCTAATGTGCCATTTAATTTTGAATGTGAATGGACTAAAAGGTTTTTAATTTATAAAACAAATGTTGACATAGAAGCAGCCCTAAGATTTCGGTGTTTTCTTGCTGCCATGATACCATATTAATAACATAGGATATAATTTAGCATCTTCTAAATTTATCTTTCTTTGTCAATGTTTTGCTCACTATTTTTCAAATTACAGTTCTCTTATGGTAAGGTAATTCATACCTTGAAACACAGTGACAAAATGATAGCATGGTTCCACTTTTGCTCAATAATTGATCTTTCAGATTTTTGTACTTTCTGGTATTAATCATATTTAGGGCCCAATGTTATTATGAAAAATTATCAGTGTTGCAATATGATTATTTTCATCGTTTAAGTGACTCCCCTCTCACCACCATCCCTCTTCATTATAACATAACAATATCTTATTTATTTTAATTGGAATTTCAAATTTGTCTATGCTAAATTAAATCAATGCACCAAACTATAAATTACCTTCCTGTTCATAGGTAGTAAGTACAACAGCAAACATCTGGATGAAAAGAGAGAGCAATTGGTATAATCACAGAAGTTTTTCAACTTTTCAATGAACTTACCAAACATCAACATGATCAAGAGAATGATTTGGGGTTCATTGAGCAAGTCTGTCAAATTCAACCAAATTTCTTACCTTGTAAGCCTGCTTGCAGGTTAACTGAATGCTTATACCAGAAACTGAACAATTATTTCTTTCTTTCTCCATTTTATTGGAAAAGCTTTGTCTATATAGAGAGGGACAAGTACTCTACAATGTTTATGGGGAAATTTTCTTTTTCTTAATTCACTTAGTTGAGACTGGTTAAGATTCCCACTTTTGGATTAGAGGTTAACTTCAGCCACAAAGGAGCTTGAAAGTGTTCCTGAGGAAAAGGAAGTTTTCCAGACATGGGGTAAAAGTGGATGTTTAAGTAGATAGGTTCAAAAAAATCCTTTCAGATAGTCTAACATGACACTTGCTTAAATATATTTTAAATCTCAAGGAGAAATATCAATTAGTCCTAAAAATATTACCCTGATAACTGTATAAATCTGAAAACTGATTTTATAAATGTATTTGAAAGGAAAAGTATGTTTGTCCTTTTGATCCAAAAATTCCACTCCAGGAAATTAATGGATTTTAAGGAAATCATTCACATGAGTGTTTTTATTGCAGTGTTATTTACAATAGTGACAAATTTGAAAAGAAATCTTAAAGTACAATGTTTAATAAATTATAATACACTAACTCACTAGACTAATACATAGCCTTTGTACTTTGTGAATATGATACTTAAAGTGACATGGCAGTATTCTTATTATAATAATGGGAATTCACATGAACAAAGCCTAGGAGAACATTCAAAGAAGTGAAAATAATTGCAATGTTGAATTAAGAATAAGGCTATGTTGATTTTTCTATAATTTTTAAACTAGTAAATACAAATAGTTCTAATGTCCAAGGTCCCAGGCCTAAATCCATACAAAACTGAATCAAAGTATTAAATAGTTGGGGTATTATTAGCCAGGTGTAGATTCTAACAATTCCAGCATGGGAAAGGGGGCTGAATCTGAAAATAAGTGATAGCTCTGATTCTTACTATGTATTTTTGCATGTTATTATGCTTTTATAAAGGAGTATATGTGTGATTTTTTAGTCTTTGTTTAAAGAACGATGACTATTCTCTTTTAAAACATAGCATATGAATGTTAGAGGTTTGGAATGGAAGGCAATAGTGGTCATTCAATGGCTTCTAAAAGCGATTTCTTACAATTCCAGGTTTATTGAGACAACCAGTTCAATAGGTTCATGGGCATATATTAATGAGAATGGCTTAGTCTTCTCAAAGGTGGCTTAAATTCCTACAAAGTTTTTGAAACTTTCATAAAGGAAGTTGTCTTTGTTCAATAATAATTTTCTAAGAAGTAATATTAATGATTGCAATTCTAAAAAATGAATTGAAAAGCTTTTGTAGGGCAAATTGTTAAATCTATTGAAATCTGTTCATATGTATTTTTTTTAAAGGTGGAAGTGAATCCTCATGGGATAAAGATAAAATGCAATCTCCTCTTGCTGTTCCTGGACCTCAACATGGAATTACTCATGCAACACTCGCTACCCAGCCAGGGCTTGGGGGAGCTCCTACCCTTAATCCACTGCAGCAAAACCACCTGCTAACCAGTCGTATGTATACTATACTCTCCAAACACATTTTGAGAAAAATACAAGCCAAAATCCACTAGAGACCTTGTCTTGGCAGGGTGTAGTTTATTTCTTTTTGACAAGGTTTAGCAATTTGAAATTATAAGAGGAGGTAAAGAGGAACTCATTTCAAAGCACTGGATTCCTAGAGTGGAGGCAATAAGGGAGGCAAGATAACAGAGAAAAAATACATGTGAGGTTATGTATCAGAGTAGTTAAAAATGTTGGCTAGCGTCACATAAACTTGGGAATGATTTCCACATCTTTTGGACTTTGGAAAAGTCATCTAACTTTTCCAAGTCTTGGTTTCCACAACTGCAATGTTAGAATAAAGCTATACAAACTTAAGGTTATTGTGAGGGCTAAAAATATTAAGGGAAAAGCTGTTAATAGTGAATTGAATATAAGTACTACATAAATTAGAAGCATTATTATTACTTACTAATCTAACTAGGATTAGACAATGTTTTTAGTGATTTCAAAATCTCAGAAATCTTTTTAAATTAGCATATATTCATTGTACAGGAGGGGATTCATTGTGACAATTCCAAATAAGCTTATATTGTACATTGGTTAAATCATCCCTACCATCTCTCCCCCTTGATCCCCTCCCTGCCCCACTTAAAGCAATTGCAAGAGATTTCATCATTCTATCTTGTGTAAGTATATGAAGTCCATCAATTATATTCCCTCACCTTAATTACCTTCATTTACCCCTCCCCTTCCCACAGGTTCCCCACATACACGTACACATACACACATTGTACCTATTTTACACTCCTATCTTTCATTATTAATTTCTAAGTCTATGTTGAAAGGGGTTTCTCAAGGTATCCTCACTGTGAGTATACTTTATTTTGATCATCCCCTTCCATTGCTCTCCCTTACCCCTTCCCTCCCACTCCTCATTATTCAACAGCTTTCAGAACATATCCTTGTAGCCTTTACCTTCACAGATGTTATGTATTATGATGTTGTTGTTGCTCTATCATTCTCTTTTCCCTTCCCCCTTCCCCACATTTTATAGTGTAGTTCCACTATTACAAATATGTTCTACATATATGTTTGTATATGATCATGTTTGTTTTTGTGTGTATGTTTATTTTTTGGATCTATCTGCCACATATGAGAGAAAACATGCAGCGTTTATCTTTCTGTACCTGATTTACTTCACTTAACATGATGTCTTCCAAGTCCATCCATTTACTTTCAAACCACATGATATAATTCTTACGTATGGCTGAGTAAAACTCCATCATACATATGTATACATATATATATATATATATATATATGCATACCACATTTTCTTGATCCATTAATCAGTTGTAGGGCATCTGTGTTGTTTCCATAGCTTGGTTATTCTTAACTGTACAGCAATAAACATCTCTATAGTATCCTGATTTATGTTCCTTTGAATATATGCCCAGAAGTGGTATCACTGGGTGATATGGCAGTTCAGAAATCTTTTTTAGCAAAAGAAGTCTCATATATATTACAAACAAGAAGCTTGGTGTAAGGGTTTCACTAGTCCTTTCCCTAAGACTTTCATTCTACATTAAACCTTTGGATTAACATAGCAGAGGAATTCTAATAGACTTTGCTATGATGTTTTGGAGTCTTTGAAGAAGTTTTAATCTCAAGGGTAAAATATTCATACAAAATTAATTGTTTAACAAAGGCAAATAAAATGAATGATCAAATGTTATGAGTAGTACATTATGAGAATGTTTGAGTTACATTTGTGCCATAATGTAAGGTGACTTAGAAGACTGCTTGTTTCTGGTCTGAAATGTAAAGAAGTTTGGCAGTCATTACTCTCATCTTTGTAACAAGTAAAAGCAGAATAATCTGAAAATCACCAACTTTTCTTAAATCCATCAGAAACTGAGGCCCCAGGGTAATGCCTGCCAAAAAGTGGAGAAATAGGCAAAGACAAAGAATAACAGCTTATAGTGAGCAGAAACTACAGCTGGATCCCAGTAGAAGCATTTCACTTCTGGCAAAATTGAATAATTTCCCAGAAACTTACTGCAGACCTAGTTTGACAGGTAAAAACTCTTAGAGGCCAAGTTATATTTCACTGTGACACTTTCATAAGTTTTGTCTCTAGCAGTCCTACCAGGTTGAAAGGGTGGAGATCTGAGAAAATTCCCCTTATACTGATGGCAGGGTTAAGGGAAAAGTAATCACATTGAAATATGCCCAGACTGCTTCATTCTCTCAACAAAGGCTTATTCTCAAAGCGTATTATTTTTATCTGAGTTTAGAATACGTTTTTTAGAATGCATTTGTTGTACAGGGGGATTTCTTCGTGACAATTCCAAATAAGCTTATATTGCACATTGGTTAGATTTGTTTTTAACAGAGCCTAACTGACATGAAGGATGTGTTATACTAAACACCCACTCCCCCCACCCCCTGAGCCTTCCGTAAGCCTCATGTTAAGGTGAGGTAGAAACTGAAAATCACTTTTGAAAGTCACAGTCCCTGAATCCAGGCCCTTAGAGTCTGAGATATAATGTCCCCTTCAGATTTTATCATCAGGTATCTTGTATAATAAAATCTTAATATAGTTGAAAGAATTACAAGTTTCACACTTTACTTAAGATGAGTTCTCTAGGAGTAATAGAAGGTAAGGAGTATAGAAACAAAAACACTAGAGGAAAATTTAGCCTCTGATACCACAGGTTAAGTGCTTAAGACAGCCTACCTCCCAGCCTGTTCAACCTAAAACTTCTCACTAAAGGCTTTTTTACTTAAGGCCTCTTTGCCCAATACAAAAAATTATAAAATATGAGAAAGGGTTAAAAATAACACAGTCTGAAGAGACACAGCAAACATCACTAAGAAATTCTAATATAGGGGATCTTTTAGAATTACAAGCCTTGTAATTTAAAATGACATTAATATACTAAGAGAATGGAGAAATTTCACAATATACAAGAGCACTGAGGATTTTAAGCAGAGATGTAGAAACACTAAAAAAGAGTAAAAAGGAACTGCTAAAAACCAAAAAACAGTACAATAAACTGAAATCAACTCTTACAGAATGTTGAAGAATCAGTGAGCATGAAGATATGTCAGTAGAAACTTTAGAAACTGAATAATTAGAAAACAAAGTGAAAGAAAAACAAAGAAAATGTCTAATAACTATGTGACAATTACAAAAAGTGTAATATACATGGAATGGAAATATAAGAAGGAAAAGGAAAAGAGAAAGGAACAGAAAAAAATGCTTAAATTTTCAGTAGCTGAGAATTTCCCAAAATTAATGGATGGTACCAAAACATAGATCCAAGAAGATCACAGAAAACAAAGTAAGATTAATACCAAAAATATTTAACTATTCATGTCATATTCAAACTGTAGAAAATCAGAAGCAAAGAAAATCTTGAAAGGTGATAGATTAAAAAAATATTTTATTTGCATGTAGGAACAAAGATAAAAACTATATTGTACTGCTTTTCGGAAATCAGGTAAGCAAGATAGTGATACAAAATATTTAGAGTACTAGATGATCTAGAATTTTGTGTCCAGTTAGATTTCCCTTTAAAAGTAAAGGAGGAAATAATGGTTTTCTTGGACAAATGAAAATTGAGGGAATTTGAAAGCATGTCAGCATATTTACTTTGCAAGAAACATTGCAAGGTCTTCAGGGCGATGGAAAACTATTATATAAGGTGGAAATGTTTATCTATATTAAGGAAGACCATTAAAGAAATAATAAATTAAAATATTTTTCTTATTTTTAATCTAACAAATAACAGTCTGTTTGCAATAATAACAACAACAACATAATAGGTGATTATGCATTATAAATAAGTGAAATGAGATGAAAGTGCTGTTGTAAAGAATAGGAGAGAGGAATTGAGAATAGTCTTTCATGAAGTACTTATACTACCCATGAAGTGATAGAATAGAATTTGTAAGTAGATTTAGATTAATTGTAAATGTGTATTGAAAACTCTAAGGCAACCACTAAATCATAAAATTAACTATAGTGACATGAAGGAAGAGAGAGTGAGGGAGAGAGAGAGAATAGGATCATGTAAGATGGCAACAGAAGGGAGTAAGATAAGGTAAAAAGGAAAGCAATGATAGGAATAAGTAGAAAATAATAGGAGCTATTGTCCAACTATGTCATTAATCACTTTCAATATGAATGTTTTAGATACACAAATGAGAAAAAAAGACTAGCTCATGTATCCTCATGGCCTTGGATGACAGTGATTTCTGCCTTTACTTAAATCAGAAAACACTTCTCAACAAAACTGTAATAAAACTTCCAGAAAACGTCATGATGGATAACAAAAGAAAAACCTAATTATATGTTGGCTTTAAGAAACTCAATTCTAATATGTATACATAGATCAATCGAAAGTAAATAAGAAATGTATCCTATACTAAACTAATCAAAAGAAAGTTGGTGCAGTGATATTAATCTCAGAGAAAGCAGACATCAGAACAATGATGACAGAGGAGTTAATTCTCCCAAAGAGTACTTACCTGAAAGTTTACACTTCACAACAGATTACCAAATTATATGAGTGAAAAAAATTATACAACTGAAGGGAAAATAGATGAATCCACTGTTCAATTTAAAGACATCATCACCTATCTAAAAGTAATTGACACATCCAGTAGAAGGGCATAGTTGAACTGAACAGCACCACTAATCAACTGAATCTAGTGAACATTGTAGATTACTTCACCTAGCAACAGAAGAATGCACATTCATCTTAAATTCATGTAGAACATTCACCGGATAGACCACATTCTGGGCCATAAAACACATTTCAACAAACTTGAAGAAATAGGAGTCATACAAAACATACAAAATATGCTATCAGTCATGTGGGATTAAAGTAGAAACCAATCACAGAAAGATTGGTCTAAAATGAAAAAATACCTAGAAATTTAATGTCACACTTCTAAATAGCATATGGGTGAAAGAAGAACTGTGAATTGTAGCAGAAGCA